TACACATACTTACAAATAACATAAACTCATCTAAAATCAAATCAAGCCACATATTTAATTGGCAACGAAAGACTTACCGCATGCCGTCATCAAAATGAACAGTATAAAAACAAGATTCCTTGTCGCTGACCAAACCATTCTGAATCTTGTGCAAATCCAGTAGTTTCTTGAAGATAAATGAAGACAAACCTATTGCTTGGAAAGAAACCATTCTTAAAATTAGAATTAGTTTAAAGAACCTGTTGCTTATGTCATAATTTCATCTGGTATCGATTTTTGTAAAACTATTTTTGTTTATTTCTGTTGATTATCAAGAACCACTTGGAACTATAATTGTAACAACGTGCCTAGTATGAATCGAATTCAAGATTTACAAATATCGTTTTTCTATGAAGGAAAAGAGATGGTGTCACTGTTACACAATAACAATTCACTTCGTCTTCTACCTGCAACCTGTTAATGTATTGGAAAATACATGGCCATAAACACTACTCCCTGTCAAAGTGAATTCCTTAATTAAAATCTGGACTCACCCTTTAATTAACCTTGAACCGCAAAGCAGACCTTTCAGCAAAACAATAATAATAATAATAATAATAATAATAATAGCCTAATAGTCCACTCCAAATTTTATTAAACCGAAACGGAAATTCTTTTTGCCCAATTGATCGTGAGCCCGGCAGCCACTGAGCAGCGCCAGATCGACGTTGCTCTAGCCCTTATTGTTGAACGCCAAACAAGGTAGCAACAACTCCTATCTTTTAACGTCTTTTGGTATGACGCGGCCGGGGTTCGAACCCAAGACCTCCCGGTTGTGAGGCGGACGCTCTACTGACTGAGCCAACACTCCGGTATAACACTGGCAAACACTGGCAAATTATTATTCAATAATATCTGAGAATGTATACTATTATCTAGATCTATCAGGAATAAATCATTGTCAAAATAATTCGGAAATTTGGGGTAAAAAAAACATATTCCAACTATATGAGCGACAGTGTACATGTATGAATTTCTTAATTGTCATTAAACTCATCAACCATGCAGCTAAGTGCTTACAATTTACAAATTACAAATAAATTAGTGAGACATTTTATAAACTTAAAGGATGTGTATGTTCATAAGGGCATACAATTCACGTCTAGTGTAATACTGCATGCTAAAGGATGAAACGTGAATGCCATAGATAACATTTGTGACGAAATAGATGACCCATAAGTCTTCATTACAAAAAGATTTCGATGAGTGATATAAATTATGATCTTTATGAAAGCAAGTTGTAAGAATATTACAATCGAACCACAAACATTATTCATTACAAAAACAAACAAAATAAGTTTTCCTTTTCCCCGCTCCCTTCTTTTTGATTACAGTCATTTCAAACATTATTTATTCATCAAAACTTGGTGTCGTATATTCGCTATAGAATAAGACCTATCTATAGTATTAATCGATGTAGTAGGAATAGTCGCATTAGGGATGGCAATGATCCGAAAGATTCCACACCATTTAATATTTGCTCGAAATAAAGTCATCGGAGAAGATACTTTTCCTTCTCTTTCGTGAGGATTTCGTTCTAAAACTGTCAAGTAGTGTATTGATCAATTCTAACTTCAATAAATGATACTATGTTTCTATTTCCAAATCTTTGTTATATTTATGGTGCATTTATGACAACATGATCTCGACATAAAGTACCCATTGTCAAACAAACCTTCTAATAATCATTGTGAAATACACACTCCGTGGCGGATCGACGTTTCTCTGGCGAGAGGGAGTGGAAACAAGACCGAAAATTCTCTGACAAGCAAAATAAACCAATACATACAAACAAAAAACAAACAAGACCATTTTTCTTCGTTCATAATTTTTTCTTCTTTCATTCCCCTTTTTTGTCGGCAAAGAACCCTCTTCCCCCTTCCCCCCGGTCTGCAGCTGACACTTTATGATAGGGAAATTACGAAATAATGGCTATATTTTGTATGACATCACCCTGGAACAAAGTCAGGAGAAACGTCAATAAACGTGTAGTAAAAAAAGAAGATATTATGTTAAGAATTGTGTATATTGTCAACGGCAGTAACGGCCAGTGACGTACGCAGGAACTTTTCAAGGGGGGGGGGGGGGGGAGGTATAGTGAGCAATTATTTTCCCCGTTTTTGGCCCCAGAAAATTGAATATCGCGCCGACCGATATTTCGCTCAGTTTGGGGGGGGGGGAGGACCATTACATTTATTTTTACTCGACACCCCGCCCCCCCCCCCCCCTTTTAGCAAAAAAAAAAAAAATATTGAGGGGGGGGGGGGTTAACCCCAAAAACACCACCTGCGTACGCGCCAGGTAACGGTCTTCTTACAGGTAGCCATTGATTGGAGCACACAATATGTATTAAACAGTTAGAGCCAATTTTAGAAGCAAAAGAAGTCTGGTGACGGGAAAATTTTGAAGCACGTTTTCAAACCATGACTACTCCTTGTGTCTTTGAATCATTATATATATGGACATATTACACTAACACATCACGTAGTCCCCATAATTCATACAATGGGTATTTGATTGAGTTGAATTGCTCGAAATTTGATGTACGTTTTCAAACCATTACTACTTGTGTCTTTGAATCATTATATATAGGGACCTATTACACTCACACATCACGTAGTCCCCATAATTCATACAAAGGGTATTAAGTTGAGTTGATTGTTCGAAATGCTTTGCTCTCATGTTTTGGATGATTCGTGTATTGTATGTGCCTACAAATATTTATGAACAGCATGAACACAACTCAAATCAAGTCATTCATTCTCTTGGCCTGGAATGAATTGCTGCATACAATCATCAAGTATTATATTAATGGTTGTAGAGAGGAAAGTACACATTCATCTTGTCTATAACCGTATTTTAAATGATAATTGGGACCAATTAACTAACAAATCAACTCCTGAAATTTCAGTTTCGACATTGGGCATTTTGGCATCACAGCCCGTTTGTGGATAACTTGTCTCCGTTTCATATAGTATTGGTTTGGTTTTATTTTCCGTATAATTAAACTTATGTACATATGGATGAACATAAAAAGATACGGATGGATCGTCATGAAAAGAAAATGAAGAATTGATCGCACAGTCGTGTGAAAGTGTAACATTAGCTTTATTCATAAAACAAAACGAAAGGATATGCGAAAATTAAAGATCACTTGCTTTTGATACAAAAAGAGCAATGTAGAGAATGTAATAACAAAATCCAAAAACGTAAGAGCACATTAAATGCTAGTCTTGTATTACTAATGTTAACTTCTGACGATTCGACCGTTACGTGAACGTACCTACATGCATAACGCTACAATATAATTCAAAACATATAACTACAATTTCTTGGATAATGATCTGATTTTTATCATCTTGAATATCAAACTTACGTAAATGAAACGACATCAATATCAGGTTTTTTACCACTCTTATGAAACTTAACCCCCAAATTTAATAACATCAATATTGAAAAGTTCCTGCAATGCACTTTCATCTTGGATAGATATAATAATAATAATAATGACATCTTTCTCTTTGAAAACCCAAATGTTTTAGTTTCATTAAGAGAAATAACCTGTCTTACCCCCATAAAAGGGTCCCTAAAATGTTACATTTGTTTTATTATTATCATTATTGGTGTTATTATCATTATTATCATTATCATTATTATTGTTATTATTATCATTATTATTCTCATTATTATTATTATTATTATTATTATTATTATTATTGTTATTATTATTGATATAATTAAAATCTCATTATCATCACCATCATTATCGTTATTATCATCTAAAATCAGTCTACCATTTCCCGACCCGACTTGCCTCTCCACTGAGGGAAGAGACAAGAATCTCGGTTCTTCTCTCCTATTCCCCGAAGACATGTAACCCACCCCCCTCCCCCTTTCCCCCTCCAGCGAGTGCACAAAGTCCTGAACAATAAACTTTTCTGATCGTTACACACGACTCGTCAATTTGCTGACTTAGAACTACGTCATTAACAGGTTTAGTCTTTAATGCGCCCGATGAGGGCGACGATGCACAAAGAAAATGATTATAAAATCTAACATTGAACTCTTTGGATTAATACCGGGGTATGGGCAAATTGCCTACATGAATTTGCTTGGCGCGGGTAAAAATGGATAGATATAAAACCGCCACGGGCCTTTTATTATTATTCTCGTTATAACTATTTTTTTTTTATCACTATTTATATTGTCATTATTATCACTATTAATATTGTCATTATTATTCTCGTCATAATTAATATTATAATCAATATTAATTTTGTCATTATTATTTATATTTTTTAAAATAATTATTATCATCATTATCAATAATGTGTAATGGACTAAAATATATTTGAATAAACCATAAACCTACCCCTAAACCTAGAACACACCACCAACTTGCTTATACACATCGATATAAAGGTACTCCATTTCATAAAATACAGCGAAATGATAAATAAAATGGTGAACAGATAAAAGAGCTATGAATAAGAAGGAATTTCTAAATATCATTGTTTGTATATTGTGTTGGTAATTAATACAATATTACTCTTGACTAAAAGATTTCAACAAAAATTATAATCCTTGCTCGGTAATAATAGCCCTGTATTCAGCTGCATTACTAACATGAAATGAGGGGGGAAAAAAGAAGACATCGCTTTGTTCACCTACTATTCAATGAATATTATCTACATTATCATGAATCTTATTATTTCATTAATTCCTCAGGTTAAAAAAAACACTTTAAACTCTTTTTAAACATCATTTACTGAAAGGCTAATCCCTATTTCATAACATAATATTATATTCAGCACTTGTTCAGATATTGCACAGTAACTATGCTTGTTAGTCTTAATCAAATTATCTTTCTCAAAATACACTCACAATCTTAATAGCCTCATGTTTAGTTCACATCCTACTAATTAGCAATATATCTGATCTATACACAGGGTCAAAATGGATAGGAGCAGAAAACTTTATTACAATTCCCAACTCTCCATTAATGTACTATTTGATTGTGCTAGCTAAATTTTAGTCGATGAAAATTCCATATCCCCTTTACTATTAAGTCCGACTAAATATGCGAAATCCTAGAAATTCTACAGATTTCAAATGATATATATATATATATATATATATATTGTAATACTCATTTTATAAAGAAACTTCGTTCACATACAAAACAATTAGTAACATTAAAACGTCAATAAAAAATCACGGGGAAAAAAGTTTGGATATATTATAAATAACTTAAAGGAATGCAAATATGGGTCAATGAATAATTTATAGCATGTCAATTGACACCACCAATTTTGCGATTTTCAGTGACCGTTACAATTTTTTTTCCAAACTGGAACTCTTGAAAGGACGGAAAATTATGTACAACATATTGGCACTTTATCAAACCGAGATCATCTATAAATAAAATTACTTAAAATAGGCGGGTAATAGGCTCAGAAAGATAGGAACTAAAACTAATAGTCTGTACCACACGTCAAGCAAAATAATACATGGTCCATGCGTGTCGCGCTTCTTAGTGATGGTCAACCTCACAATGTTTTGTTTAACGTGCTAGTCAAAACAATTCCCGTACGACAAATTACACTAATATTCAAATTAATTATCACAACCCGCGTGATGACACCTTTACGATTTAAGTCGAAATAAGTTTAATGGAAATGTAGCTGAAAAGGGGAATTGTTTGATGACTACATTTAAGTGATGTATCAATAAACAGGAAAGCTGATAACCAACGACTCCGCCCCATCAATAGCAATTTAACAGACATGACAAATGCTGAATTTACTATGCAAATATGGTCAACTGGTATTCCTTATGTCCCTAATAACCTTCTATGTATAAAATTATTAACATGTTTGAATATATTGCATGTTGCTAGTTGAAAAACACGATTGTTTTATTGGTTGAAAGACTGCATGGGTTAATATTTTAAAACCATTACTACTTGTGTCTTTAAATCACCGTTATCATTTCTGTGTAGTTCCGTACATAATGCAATCTGTCTTTCAAACATTTATCAAGTTTCCTTATATATAGTTATCAAGTCACCACTCGGCCCCATCGTTTTGGTAGGCAGCTCTAGGCAGTCTCTCAGGTTGGGAACGCATTATTGTCTCCGGGCGGAACCCACTGGAATCAGAGTTAGACATCAATCTTGCATTTTGGTTGCCTCTCTGTCCCCTGAGCCTGGCCGAGCTATTCTTGAACGTCGAATTAGTTTGGCCAGAGCTTGAGCCGGACGCCGCAAAAGACTTCGACAAGCAGCAGCTGAACTGTGAGCGCCATGTCCTGCGAACCTGAGGCTGGCGCATGCAGTACAGCATAAAGATGAAGTACCCCTGCAGAGAGTTGAGGATGGTGAAGATTCCTTGGACGACCTCACTGGCCGGTCGGATGATGCTCAGGTAACCTAAAGACCACGTTAGGCCCATCAGGATCAGGATACACACCGCATTCTGGAAACGTCGAAGGCGCTGGCGCTTCTCCGTCTTATCAAGTTGTCTTCCTTTGACGGTTCTGTTCAGTCGTATAATGACACGAATGAAGATAATGATGTTGAAGATCATGACGAAAGCAACTGGAATCAGGAGACCACCGATGAGAGGCCATTTTGCAAGGAAGCAACTACAAAAACAACAACGATGATAGATACATATTAATATTTCAATTTATTATATAATGATTTATCAATTATATTAATGATGAATCTGTATTCAAGATTGTTTCAATTAAATTAATTCACTACGAGCCGGACATCAATATTTTTCATGATATTCCTTATAACCAGTGCAATAGTCGGTTATTCTATTGAATTTAATCGACCTCATTCTAGTTGACATTACACTTCTACTAAATAAAAATATGCGTAAAGCATCAATGAAAATCTATGAACATGAAATTGTCATGTATGTCTCTAATAATTCTAACTATTGTTAAATAGCATTGATTGGACTATTTGAATGTTGAATCTTTTTTTTTAAATCGTGTACATCATATTTTAGCCATTGCAGATCAGTCTTGGGACTGCGAAAAAGGAAGATATTAATTTAAGTCCTCCAAACATTCAGCCATTTTTTAAATGAGTAGGTTAGACTTCAAACAACCTACAAAGTTTTCTTGGGTAGGAATGCATAACATATTTAACGTGTCACATATTTGGAGCCGTGTTATCACGATAGCAATTACCATCATATGCTAAAACAAATCGCGTTCAGTGTATTTAGTGAGGGTATTGACAGAAAATAATAAATCTATTGTACTCTATAGCGGGAATTCATTTCAAATTGCCAAAGTAATACCAATATATAGAAAAGATGATCCGTCATTAGTGTCAAACTATCGTCCAGTATCGATTCTTCCGATTTTCTCGAAGATTTGAGAAAGGCTGGTGTATAAGAAACTAATGAAACTAATACATTTGGGTTTTCAAAAAGAAAGATGTCATTATTATTATTACTATTATATCTATCCAAGACGAAAATCAATTTTGCTTTAGAAAATTCCATTCCACCGATCTTGCTTTAGCACATTTGTACGACAGTGTCAAATGCCTTGGACAATCGTAATCATGTTTTAGGATTATTTATGGATCTTAGCAAGGTATTTGACACCCTTGTAAATTTCATAACTATAGTGTATTAAGAGGATTACCTCTCCAATGGTTTAATGATTATTTAAAACCCATAAAGCAATATGTTTAGTGTAAATATGTCGATTCTAATTTATTACCAATCTCATGTGGTGTCCCGCAGGGATCTGTTCTTGGTCCTGTGTTATTCTTAACTTATGTGGATGTATTTTAAACACACCTAACTTGTTGCAATACATCCTATTTGCCGATGATACTACTGTAGTGTATAAGAGACTGTACGGTTTTAACTACAAAATAATTTATTTAACGAAAATCAATTTTGCTTTAGAAAATTCCATTCCACCGATCTTGTTTTAGCACATTTGTACGACAGTGTCAAATGCCTTGGATAATCGTAATCATGTATTAGGATTATTTATGGATCTTAGCAAGGTATTTGACACCCTTGTAAATTTCATAACTATAGTGTATTAAGAGGATTACCTCTCCAATGGTTTAATGATTATTTAAAACCCATAAAGCAATATGTTTAGTGTAAATATGTCGATTCTAATTTATTACCAATCTCATGTGGTGTCCCGCAGGGATCTGTTCTTGGTCCTGTGTTATTCTTAACTTATGTGTATGTATTTTAAACACACCTAACTTGTTGCAATACATCCTATTTGCCGATGATACTACTGTAGTGTATAAGAGACTGTACGGTTTTCAACTACAAAATAATTTATTTAACGAAAATCAATTTTGCTTTAGAAAATTCCATTCCACCGATCTTGCTTTAGCACATTTGTACGACAGTGTCAAATGCCTTGGCTAATCGTAATCATGTATTAGGATTATTTATGGATCTTAGCAAGGTATTTGACGCCCTTGTAAATTTCGTAACTATAGTGTATTAAGAGGATTAACTCTCCAATGGTTTAATGATTATTTAAAACCCATAAAGCGATATGTTTAGTGTAAATATGTCGATTCTAAATTATTACCAATCTCATGTGGTGTCCCGCAAGGATCTGTTCTTGGTCCTGTGTTATTCTTAACTCATGTGTATGTATTTTTAAACACACCTAACTTGTTGCAATACATCCTATTTGCCGATGATACTACTGTAGTTTATTCTGATTCTAACTCTCCTTTCCTTATTGATACCATGAATAATGAATAACCAAGATTATCTGCATGGTTTGAGTGCAACAAATTATCATTAAATTTGAAAAAGACAAACTTTATTCATTTCCAGAATGTAAAAACTGAGGGACCTGCTTTGGAAATTCATAATGTGGATGGTGTGGTTATTTAAAAGACTAAAAGTGTTAAATTTTAATCGAGGTGTTATCAATGACACTCTGAAGTGGAATGATCATGTTAAATATATTGCAGCAAGAATACCACGTAATGTAGGCATATTCTTTAAACAGCGTCCCTATGTTCCTTCGAATATCTTATTAACGCTGTACAATTCCATGATATTACCTTTTATTTCATATTGTAATTTAATATGGACAAACATTAAGTGGAATACGGATATTACTTATTTGTTAAAAGTTGTTTTCTCAAATGCTGGTTACCCTGACAGTTAATGATATCAAATTTCTACAAACTGCCATTTTCATTTTTCGCCTCTAAAAATATGTCCCTGTGACATTTTCTATTCTGTTTCAACTGAATAAAGATATATATATATTCATTCTACGAAATAATCTGCCTATTGCCATTTGTGCAATCCAAATACTGTTCTCGCCCTTAAATCCATTTGCCACACTGGGCCAGATATATGGAATTCCCTTCCCATTGATACCCGCACTGCGCTTTCACCGCTCTCTTTAAAAAAAAAATCGGTCAAAGCTTTTCTTCTTTCAAAGTACATGTATGTTGCACGACAGATATTTCAATTCTGTGTTACCATAATGAATTTGTATTATCATGTAAACCAGTTATTGTTGTCATGTCATTGTTATTTACTTGGTAATAACCGAGTCAGTAAACTGACCTACACAATCCCTTTATTAAATGCAACAAAAACCTTTCATGTATTAAGACTGATTTACTCAGTAGTTAAGTAACATGTGCCTATTTTGTATATCTCAGCATTTAAATAGAAGTAGCCGCATGTCAATTGTTTCTCCTTCCATCCCTCATTAAATATATATATATATATATATATCCCTCTCTCTCTCTCTCCTGAAGCAAGTCATTTTTCTGTCATTTTTTGTCATTAAATTAAAATGAGAGCAATAAGGAGCGGGAACGTTTGTTTCATATTGTTCCTGATTGATTGATAGGTTACATTCTTGGATTCAATATAAAACTTACACATCTGTCTGCGCGTAGTGCTCCCTCGCTGATCCTCCAGTGATTCCAACAATCACCAAAGGGACTCCTAAATGCAAGAAAAAAAAGGAATGGTTACTTTATTATCATCATTATCATTGTCATTATCATGATGAGGATCGATGATCATCATCGTCAACATCAATTCTTAAAGGAACAAACGAAGGATAAACTAGACTTGTAGTCGGAGTTAATACTATGTTTTATACAACACATATTGCTCATATTGAAAGCCAATATGAACAGCTTGTTATATTAAGTTTTAAAACAAACTCTACTTGCTGAGCACGATCCCAAAGACTTTCGAGGAAAATTTTCAATATCCTATTGAATATCCTTTAGAAATTTGTTCAGTTCAGTATGTAATAAGTCATTGTAATATACACACTTTTCAACAGGTGATGGACAAAGCTATTGAAAGTTTTTGAGCTTGATTTTGGTTTGGAAGCCTTTGCGATCATGTTGGTAACACATTTTGGCAAAATGGCATTTAATCTATCAAGTAAAAAAGCAAATAATTATTGGACGGTGGCTTACCCCATGCAAACAGTGAAGCCTTCCGCATAAAGCGCGGTAGATACGTGTTGAGAACTCGAACGAAGAGAATATGCATGTTGTAGCCCTCGACTCCCATCCAGAATAGAGATGACAGGGTAAAATAGTGGAGGAAGCCAGCTAGGATACAGCAAGGCAGGGGAGGAATTTCTTCCTTACCTCGTTCTGTGTCAACAGATATCATGACCAGGAAGACGATGTATAGACAGAGCAGGGAACTGGAAAGGGACAGCAGGATCTGGTTGGGTTTGCGATCACGAAGTTTCCTAGAAGAGAGGACAAAACCTTATTTATTATATATATTATAACACATTTAACATGGTTAATGCTGTCGCTGGGTGTCGCACAAAATACTGACTCTTGGAACCGCAGGTGATGTGTCGTTTTGGCAATTATCGACGACGTACCCTTTGAAAGATTCCATGGTATTTCCTATGCTCAAGTGATTTTAATTTTCGGACCGTGTTATTTTCTATGTACCGGTATGTACAAAATCGTGACTCATAATGGATTTTTCTAGCATACACAGCTGCTCTTCTAAAAAATGTGATATGGTAACATTTTTCAATGATCAAAATTACGTTTACGGGCAAGCCTAATGTACGTTTTCCCTACGTTTACCGAGCATCTCTGGGATATTTGTAAGACTGGTGACGGTATTAAATTGTCTGCTCAACTAGAGCTTTTCTGAGACCAAATACCACTTGGTAAGTTGTGCAAAAAATTTATATATGAAATGGAATACATTCGAATTCGAATCAATCAATCAACGTGTTGGACATCACAAGATCAGATACCTTATACTGGCCCATATGCATAATATCCCTGAATATAGAAATGTTACTCACTTATTAAAAGCATATGTGAGGATTGTGATGACAAGGCCCCATATTGACATACAGCAACCAACATAGCTTATGATCTCCAGAATAAAATCTGCCTGTGGTGACAATCCTTCTCCTCCATAGATATCCTGTAAAATGTAATGATATATATTTTCAAACAGGACGTCAGCCAAGTCTGACTACTAAAAGTCATCTTAGTCTTCATGCCTCGATCAGATATGACGCGGTGATCTGCGGCGTTTTTTTTCTTCTTTTTCTGGATGACCTATTGAAGTGCAATTAATACACTTTACATTTATGTAGCTAATAACACAAGGCTTAGTGAATACGCGTTGGACCGTTGTCGCGTCCAGTTGTAATTCATTTCTTTTGCCATATCGTTTGACTTTGGCGATCATGCTGTTCCACAACCCTCGGCTCCTAGCCTTCTGTATAAGTACCACTCCCAGTTCTTTCACTCCTCTCTCTTCCAGCAATTTCTGCAGACTGTCCATCCAAATTATCCCCTTCTTCCCCTACACGTTCTTCCCACAATTTTCCCTGTCAAAGCAAGATTATCTAGGCCTTCTTTACGTGTACTGTGACCCATGAACTTCAACTGCCTAATCAACATCTCACGTATCATTTTCCTTTGCACTCCAACTCGTGTATAAGAACTTTCTCATTACTAACTTTGTCAGTCCAGGGGATTTTCATCATTCTTCTTAAAAACCACGTTTCGCAACTTTCCAAACGCTTTTTAGTATCAGAGGCTAAAGTCCATGTTTCACTACCATACATGAGTACTGGGTAGATGTAACAATTCAATACTCTTATTGTGGTCCTCATACTCATTGTTCGATTTGTCAGAATTTTGCCTAACTTTGAGAATGCAGATTTAGCGAGAGCTATCCTTCTCTTGATCTCTGTCTCACATCTGGCATCCTCGGTAATCATGCTGCCGAGGTAGTTAAATGAGGAGACTTGATTAATGATCTGTTCTTTCAGTTTCAAGTTACATTTTGGACTGCTCTTCTTGGATACCACCAGGCACTTTGTCTTGGTATAGTTGATCTCTAGTCCCATTCTCTCACTTTCTTTTACAACTACATCCAGGAGTCTCTGGAGATCTTTCTCTGATTCCGAAAATAAAACAGTGTCATCAGCATATCTAATATTTGTGATTGAATGGCCACCCACTTGTATCCCATTTTCATCTTCCAATTCTCTTAGAATGATTTCACTATACATATTGAACAGGTCTGGTGACATAACACAACCCTGTCTGACTCCCCGTCTGATGTTAATATATTCACTACACTCTCCTTCTACCCTGATGCATGCAAACTGATTCCAATATAGACTTTGTAACAGTCTTAGATCTTTCCTATATATATCAAGCTTTTTCAGCTCTTCAAAAAGTTCTGAAAGTTTAACTTTATCAAAAGCCTTTGAATAATCAATAAAACACATGGACACATCCTTTTGCATTTCGACTGCTCTCTCCGTTATATTTCTAACCACAAATATTGCATTTCTTGTGCCCGCATCCTTTGCAAAACCAAATTGTTCCCTTCCGACCATAGGAGTTATTCTACTTCTTGCTCTCAAAAGCAAAATCCTCAAAATAATCTTAGTGATATGGCAAATAAGGCTGATTGTCCTATATTGCTCACAATCCACGGCTCCCGGTTTCTATGGGAGAGTAATGAAAATGGATCAGCCCCATTCATCTGGAAATGTTCCGTCATCATTATATTTTGTTGATAATTTCTGTTAATCTATCAACACCATATTCCTCTAATGCTTCAAACAGTTCAGTGACCACACCCTCTGGTCCAGCTGCTTTGTTCTTTTTCATCTTTGACATTGCCCAACGGACTTCAGATTTAAGAATTTTCTCCCCTTTGACTTCATCTGCAAAACTCGACATTGCTTCCCTACTATCTTCAAAAAGTTCGCCAATGTATTGCGTCCACCTACTCATTTTGTCCTTCGTTTCAAACAGGATTGACCCATCTTTTCCTTTGATACAGCCAGGGTTTGAACAACCAGACTTTTTGCCTGAAATTTCATTTATTCTTTGGTAAACATTACTATTCTTATCGAATTGATTTTCAATTTCTGCACATTGTTCGTTTAGCCAGCTCTCTTTTGCCTCATTACACTTTTGCCTAATTTGTTTGTCTAATTCATTTCACGTAATAAAAAAACGCCTCATATCTGAAGGAGATTTTTTTGTCAACCATGTGAAGACCAAGTACATTTACTCAGTAGCCAGGGTTTTAGGAGCTGACCATCAAGGAACGAAGCAAGATGAACCTTGCATGTGCATCGATGATATCTAAAGGGTTATGCAAGCAAATTTCCCAATGTTTACAGTCTTATCTACTTTGTGTGCTTTGAAACCAAATGGATATATCCAGAACATGGGAACGGGCATGCCTTACGTAAGTTCAGCTTTTCTAGTTTCCTCATACATTCTATACAAATTGAATGAGGTTTGTTTAATATGGTATTCAATGCAAATAACTAGCAATTAACATACAATTTTACACAATTCGCAAACAAATTTAGTAAAATTAACACTTTAATATCATGAATATTAAAGACAATGGGTTTAGATGAGGATTTCAAGTTTTCCTGTGTCATTGCTGTAACTTTTGCACAGAGGCTACACACATATCCCATGCTAAAGTACGTTACGTGACAGACAAAGGTGATACAAACCATGAGAATGCCGAAGTTGGTAAGGTGATCGCACTCGCATGTAATTCTGGATATGTTGTCATTACTTGTTTTGATGCATCCTCGCGTGGACCATTGGTTATCATCAAAGTCATAAGATACACACGTGGCATTTGTCCCATTCTTGAAATGAAAACAAAATATGGCAATTATCAGGGCTTGAAAATAAAATATATAAACATCTCAAATAAAAAAGAAGACCATTTCTGCCACTGGAAAATATCTGGTTCAAGAGTAACGTGTACATTGCATAATACTGTCTCGTCCAATATGCAAACTTCAACCACATTACTCTACAATTGCTCCGAATTGATATGTCACTTCACATCATCCTCTCATCCTCATCTGTGTGTTCATATCCAATCTTTTTGTATATTCGCGAAATTCCTCAGATTAAAGAGGTTGATTTACATTGAATCACTGCCACATTTCACATCATTGTGCCCCCGCATTTGTTTCTCTACTTGTTTTGTAATGTTATTCAAATCAACAGCAACATTTTGGTTGAGCCATTGCCATGTTACAAATGATAACAAAAATAATAACAGTGGGTACTTTTATAGCGCTCAAGTTTGTCACATTTTACACTCGTGGCACTTCAATTAACACTGATAAAGCATTAGGATGCACTCACCGGATTGGTAGGAGTAAATGCAATCATCACGGGTTCCTCCAAGTTTTCGATTTCTTCGTTATTGATCGACGCCGCTATGATCCTCGAATTCAACTTTCGCAAGAATCCCGTCTGGTTTAGATTAAACTCCGTTAGTCCACTGTCCCTGAAGAGAGCCGTGTTCAAATGTGTTGTAATGACCATCCGGCGGTCCGTCAGCCCGGAGAACCTTTTCGCTAAGACTGATGGAATGAAGAGGGTCGCCTGAGCTGCAAGCGCATCTAGCTTTGTTGTACGATCGCCTCTTGCCACCTGAAAATCCTCGTCTGAAATGCTTCCTCCATCGGCCGTAGCTGACATGAAAACGGTTATACCCTGGCTGAGTCCATCCACAGTCAGATCAAGTACCTGATACACACAAAAATAAATATGATATTGGACATTGATATAGTGTTCATATCCACCACGCTAGGTGCTCGAGGCGCTACAATATTATTCCGGCTGTGGCTAGGGAACCGATTTCGTGCTCACAGCATTCAATGAATTTCATCCTACCGATAACCATTTTGTAACCTTGGATGAGAGTGGGAACTGTGGATAAATGTTATTGCCAAAGGACACCATGTGTCGCGCCGGGGCTCGGACCAGGACCTTCACAACTCCAGTCAAGAGTTTTTTTAAAATTGTTATATGACACCTCCAGAACACAGTTTTCTATGCACGTTATGCAGGATGTCCTTGTATGTCTTCCATAAAGCGATGGCTTTGTTTTTAACGGTAAACGCATTGTCAAAATGATTTGGGTCTACAAAATTAATGTTTTGAGGCAATGAAAAAATAGTATACATGAAGATAATTGCATGAACAGAATGATTTACGTAAAATCCCAAAATAAAAAGTTAAGAATATACAGTAGAATACGTTATATTATACTATTTTACTATAGAAATGATTAAAACATGTCTTTCTGTTGCTTACCTCTGCGGCAATATTGGGCTCAACGATCCGAAGAGTTTCATTTAGCACCTCAACTACAGCGAGTTGTGCTTCAAGGGCTATAACTACACGACTTGGAGCACCACTCGCCTCAGCCATTTCTAGTTCTCCTTCTGGTAGATCCGCAATGTTACTCGCAATATCCACAACAGACTCAGTCACCTGTTGGTCATCAATACGTTTTTGGTTATTTTCCGCTAAGTAAACTGCATGATAACACCAATACAAATACTCATAATAACAACAACAACAATATTAGCTTTGATAATAATATCCATTTATATTAGGTAGCTTAGACAGATACCGAGATGTGATTGGTCTAGAGCTCGTGACGTAACAGTACTTGCGAGGATCGTAGTCGTTATAATTTCCTGGCCGGTCACATTTGGTTATATTCAAGTTAGCTGGTGGAATGAATATATTTTTTAATCCATGCATGTCGCCCTCTTGAGGACTGTTTGTCACCAACTACACGGATATGATACACATGGGACTAAAGCAGACAATCCTTTGTGATCGATCAATGACTGAAAGTCTCGATTGGAATTAAGTTCGACCCGCGAATTTTAAGTTCTACTTTTTACACGTCGCGGGCGACGCCGTACCACAACAACACTTTGAATTGGAGCCCCGATCAGTGTTAATGAGCAATGAGGATCTTGGTACTTGGTACTCGGTTGTTGTTCCTCCAAAAGATTCCTAGTGGAATTTAAACTGGTGGTCGTGGTGACAGAGGGTGGACTTAAGGAGATTTCGGAAGGAGTGCTACTTTAAACTTTGCTGAGTCAGTCAGGGATACTAATGTCGGATCAAGGTTATTCCATGCTCTCAGGCGCGCCGGAAGCAGTTTGGGATTGGATAGATAGATAGATAGATAGAAATGGTTTTTATTAAAAAGATCATCGCAGCCAATGGTTGAATTGCGATCCATTTCACAAGGTTATATACAATACAATTGCAATTCAAATTGAAATAACACAAAATATGACATAAATCAATAATCAAACATATAGACATTTCATAAAAATTCATTGATCAGATTCAAATTTTTGTTAAAAAAAGAAGGCAATAGGGAAAGGTGTAGGAGAGGGAGAGTTGGAGTGATGACAAAGAGAGAGAAGGAGAGAAAGAAAGAGAAGGGGGACGGGAGAGAAAGACGGAAAGAGATAGAGAGGAAGAGAAAGGGAGAGAGAGTTGAAGAGAGGAAGAGACAGACAAAGGGTACCTTATCATTACAGATGAGGGGAGATGGCAAGAAATATTCAGTAATGCAGAAAATTGAAATAAAAACTATCAAAATTCATTTACATAGTTCAATCATGGACTGTGAAATTCTAAAAATATTGGTATTACATTTTATTCAAAAGATTTATAAAGTAAGGAAGAGAGCTGCACTGGAAGCGTTTTGTTTTACATTGGTATTTTTTAAACTTTGATTGAGATCTTAGAGAATAAGTGCTTTGTTGTCTAAGAGGTAAACATTCTTTAAATTGTGGGTGTTTGACAAGTGCATTTGCAAAGTCTATACATAACTGCTTACGTCTTGCTTCTAATGAACATAGATTGCACGTTTCCAATGCTGCTTCATAATTTTCATACTGACGTCCTAAAATGATTTTGCAAGCTCTTTTCTGAATACGTTCTAAAATATATACATGAGTTTTTGTTAAATTACCATTAAAAACCGGTACCCCATAATCTAAAATCGAACGAATGTATCCTTTATATATAAGTAAAAGGTCATCTACAGGCAATCCATACTTCTTAAGGCAACGAAACATAAATAACTTCCTATTACACCTTTTTGTGAGATCGGATACATGACTATCCCACTTTAGGTTTGATTGTAAAATAATTCCGAGGACTTTGGCTTGATGAACATAAATTAATTCTTTGTCGCCAATGAAAATTGAAGTTTGTTCATCACAATTTTTCATAAATGTTATAACCATAGAGAAGCACTTGGACGGATTCAATGTCATATTACTTTTAGCTGACCATTGGTATAGATCAGTGATTGCATTTTGTAGTTTAGACTGAGGTGTTACTTTTCGGCTTTCTACAATCGTTAAGTCGTCAACATATTTATAAATTGGTAAGTTAAAATCATTACAGGCATCATTGATCATTACAATAAATAGAATCGGACCAAGTTTGGTACCTTGCGGAACACCAGCATTGATTGTTTTCAAATTAGATAACTGGCCAAAATATTTTACCCTTTGTTGACGCAACTCGAGGAAACTCAGTATCCAAGATATTACACATGGCCTCACTTGCAAATGGATCAATTTGTTGATTACAATATTATGGTCGATGCGATCAAACGCCTTAGAAAAATCGGTAAGTATGATGGTGGATAAAGATTTGGGTTTATCAGCGTTGGCATATATTTGATGAAGAAGTTGTATCAAGTAGTGGTTAGTGCTTAAGCCAGGCCGATTTCCATACTGATTGGGATCAATATGCCTGGTAATATCTTCAAGTAACCATTTACATATGAAAGATTAAGCAAGTTTTGCAAAGTAAGAAGTAAGTGAAATAGGGCGTAGATTTTGCAATGTGGGTGGTTGTGACTTAGGAATGGGTACAATTTCAGCTTGTTTCCAGAGTTGGGGGACAATAGAGCTCTGAAACGAATCATTCAGAATGTCAGTCAATGGGATACACAATTCGTAAGCAAATTCTCGTATTATTCTTACAGGTAGGTCTCCAGAAATCCCAGCTTTACGTTGATTAAGAGATTGCAATTTCTTGTAAACTTCAAAAGGCTGGATGATTGGACATGTACAATGCGACGGTAAAAATGCAGGCAATTTACATCTATCCAAACAAAGAAGATCAGCTGCTACAAAAGAAAAATGATCATTTATGCAATCAGAAATAACCTTAAAGTTTGAAGGATTGGTAGTATCAGTATTTGGGATTTCAATGGGTGAAGATTGTTTACTATTGTTAGTAAGGATTTTAATTTGTTTGTACCAGCCAGCAGGATTTGTTGTTTTTAGATTAGTACTCTGGTATTATAATACCTGATTTTTTGTTCTTTAATCAAACGTTTAGCTTTGTTTCGAAGGAGACGCCAAAGAGATCGGTCATTTCTGTGAAATGCCAATTGTCTCTGGAGGATGATAGTTTTAACTCTTGCTGTTACCCATGGTTTATCAATTTCATAACACTGAATCTCTTTAGCTGGTAAAAACATATTCAAATGATATTGTACTGTATCTATAAACACTTTGCATTTGTTATGTATGTCATTTTCACAGTAAACATTTTTCCAGTCATAATGAACAATCCAATTGCCGAAACTTCGCATCCCACTACTCTTTAGTGGGCGGATGACCTTCTTCGATTTAAACTTTTTCTGTTTGTAATCGGACCTATTACGAGGCAACCATATAACACAATTATGATCACTTGAACTAATGGGAGACAAAATATTAACCTCTTTGTACAAAGAACTATTATTAGTTATTATTTTGTCCAGAATGTTCTCACCCCTTGTAGCTTGAGTAACAACTTGTTTAAAGCCACCAATGTTTAAGATTGGCTGGGTGTCGAAATCGTTAAAATCCACTAAAATTGAGATTCCAACTTCAGGGTATCTAACAAGCAGGCTGTCAATTGCAGTAAATAGATGATCCGTATAAAGGTGTGCATTAGGGGTTCTCGGAGGGATGTAGATGACACAGACGATCAGGCTAGCTACAATTCGCGGTAACCGTGGTGGCCTCATGTGTATCCATAATGCTTCAACTCCGTCAGGTACCGGGACGTCAAGGATGCTTGCCTGAAGATAATGTTTGGCGTAAAGGGCTACCCCTCCACCTGAACGGTCTTCCCTCGGTTTGGAGAAGAGCGAAAAACCTGGCACTGTAAACATTTCCAGTGGGATATCATGATTGAACCATGTTTCGGTGACAGCTATGGCATCAACCTTATTGACATCAGCTACTACAACTAAATCCTCATATTTATTCCTTAGAGATCTGCAATTAGATAAAAGGACAACTGGAGTATCATACTTTTTAGGCGAACTGCATGACTGTGGTATTACGTCAACTTTAATCAAGCAGGCAGGTAAAGATTCCTCCCTACAACGTCGTGGTGGTAGTCGAGGTCGGATGCGAACCGGAATTGAAATTGGAAAAGAACGATGGCGTTGCTTTCTGATGCCTCCCCGTTTTCCTCGATGACGTGTATGTTTAAAAGAAATTCCCAAATCTTTGATGAGTTTCCGTGTTTGAGTAAGAACACTGTTACTGTTACATAACGGTCGCAAATGGTAAAGTTGGGAAATTGAGTATCGGATAAAAGACTCCTTGTTGCAGTAGTTGTCATGGCGAAAATCTAATGAAGGGCCCGGGTTGGGGTTGATATCACCACATGAAAGGAGTTCAATCTGGAAGGAAGACTCGCCATTGGTATAGTAAAGTATTGGATGCTTAAGGTACGTAAGATGGCGAAGGCATACTTTACTAGATGTGGAGTAGGGTAAATTACTTTGTGTTGCTACGTTGTGTTCATATAGAAAATATACCCCTAGGCAAATACACACAGGCAATAGGCGAACGAAAGTTGCATTCCACATGATAGCTTCACACAACCACACGCTATTCACATACGTCCATTGTCTTTTCAACATGTTTAAGGTTGAGTGACCAGCGGGAAATTTGAATGTACTGTACAGTGTTGTGCTGCTATCGCAAGATGGTCGTGTAGAGTACAATGTATAAAGTCAATGGCGTACACCAAAAAAGTCAAAACACTCATAAACGTTGATAAACAATCTTTTACATAACTTACATGGTCCAGATATATCAGTTCATATACAGTAGTAGAATACTCAGCATCTGAGACTTAAATATGTAGGAAAAGCGATGAAAATACAGGGCAAAGTCATGTAAAGAGAGAGCTCAGACTAACGACGTGCTGCCTGTGAGGCGCCATCCAACGAGGGGGGGGGGCAAACGTTCCAGGGGGCTCACCTTCCAGGGGCAGTGACGTAATGAGAAAAAACGTGCGGAAGGGGGGGGGCAGACAAAAAAATCTGCATCACCATCAGTCTTACACGTTACATGCAGGTCCCGCGGAACGTTTTTGAAAGTGGAGTATTAACGATCAGGTAGAGCGTAAATTGGCGTGGGGTCCAGGGCATG